GTTTGCACACAGCCGAGGCCAGCGTTCCCAGGCCTGCAATCAAGGGGACCGGTACCCCCTCCCAGGACACCTGCACCACTTGATCAGCCCCTCTCTGTCTCTGAGCATTACATCTGTATGTAGGTATTTAACTGTGGCAAAATATACATTACAGTGTGCCATCGTAACCATTTCCAAGTGGCCTTAAGTAGATTCGCACTGTTGTGCAACCGAAACTCTGTATTCATTGAACTCCCGCTCCTGCTCCCCCAGCCCACCTTTCTGGGGTGCTCCCCACACCCCACCGTCTCCTGTCTGTATGAATTCGGCCACCCTAAGTGGAATCACACAGTATTTGGGGTTTTTTGCAACTGCCTTACTTCCCACTGCAGAAATCTCCCCCGAATTGCCCCCCCCCATGGAGTGATTTATAAACGAGCAGCCTGGAGAACAGCATTCCACAGAAGTCCGTCCAGGTAACATTCCTCCCAGCATGGCTAACTAGAAACAGGCTGGGCTGTGAGGAGTCTCGGCACAGGGCTCCTATTTGCAGATGGGAAAAATGGAACCAGCAGCACCTCACAGCAGGGAGCTGGCCTGGCCCTCACGCTGGGTCTTGGTAGGCTCGTCTCCCAGATCACTGCAGTCATACCCTGAGCACAGCCACTCCGGGCCAGCAGCTGAAACGACCGGCACCCTGTCCTGCGAGGGGCTGCTCCTTCCCCACCAAGCTCAGGTGTCGAGCCACACTGCAGACATTTTCTTTAAAAAAAGCTTCTCAGTCCTAGAATGTCCCCTGCTTCCTGACAGCAAACCCACTCCCTTAAATCCTCCCCAAAGTCCTCAGCACCTGCCCAGTTCTGGGTCCCTCCTAACACTTGCTGTGAGGGCAGCAAGCACAACAGACCCCACTGTTCCCTGGGGGCAGGTCCCTGGTGGTCTCTGGTTGATGGGCTTCAACAGGGCCATTGCAGAACGCTGATTGGAGGAGTGATGGCTAAGAATTGCTGGCCAGCAACAGAGGCAGCAGGGGACTCCGTGAACCATCAGAGAAACCCACCAACCCCACATTTCTGTCCACCTCAGCAACCCTATGTGATCGATACTAAAGTTGTTCCCATTTTACAGATGAGAACATGGAGGCTTGGAGGCTTAATAACTAGTCCACACTATGGAGTGGTGGCTCCAGGTCTGAGACCTGAGTTGCCTGGCCCCCAAGCCCAGTGCTTTCCTGCCAAACACCCTCCTCTCTGGAGCTGTGACCGCCGAGCCTCGGTATCAGTGTGGTCCTCTTCATGTGCACCGAGCGCATCCCATGGATGAGGGTTGACTCTGCTAAGATTTGGTGGCCTCAGAGGGCTCCCCTGTACAGGTGGCCCGTGTCCAGGAAGGAACGGCACGCTGAGTCGGCTGGTTCGAGTTGCCATTGCTGGGCATGAGCTCCCCAACCTGCTGAGCGGAGCCCCACTCCGCGGGGAAGGAGGTGCACGGTCTGAACGCCCACACCACTGTGAGCAGGCGCCCAGGGCACGCTCTTCCAGGGCTACAATCACAGGCTCGTGTCTAGCTCGGCGAGACCTTAGACGGAACACAGACGGACTTCTAGCAGTTACACGTTTATTCTCACGTGTAATAGGAAACATAAAACTAGCACACCGACCTGTGACTGCATGGCTACACTGTTTAGCACAAGACTAGAGTTGGGCGTGAGTAAAACAAAGTACGTTGATTTAGAGGAAAAATTAAGGCAGTGAGAGGATATGAGGTCCTTGGTTATGACAGTGGTGGGAGTGGGCTGTGAGTGCCGGGGGTGCGGGGCCCGCTGCTCTGACGCCCCTAAGGGGCTCTAGGAGACGCTCTGCAGCACCTGGAGCCGGCATGGGCACGCTCACGGGAGCCTGCGGTGTGTCAGGACTGCCCCAGGGAGGAGAGCGCACCTTGCTTTGTTTGTGCGCTACAAAGTGCCACAGAAGTTACCAAGCAGCAAAAGTGATTTTCCTTCAAATAGAAGAATCTTCTAGGTGCGGCCTGGAAGACGCAGTGGGCGCAGGGCAGCCTGGGCGGGAGGGCCCGAGTGGGCCTTGGGGAGACAACCAGGAGGCTGAAGGGACACCCCCCCGGCACTGTCTTGAAAGAGTGTGTGTATGTGTGTGTGGGGGGTGTGCACACCCCAGTCAAGGCAGCAGGAAGGACCCTCAGAGCGTCTGCACCCGGTTGCCCCGCATGCAACAGGCACTTAATAAGTGTCAGCTGACTGGCACACAGGGGGCAGCCAATGCCCTTGGGTGTCAGCCTATCTCCTCCTGCCCCTGCTCTTCAGGCTCACAGCTGGGCCAGGGGCCAATGGCCGTGCCACCCCCGGGGTCACATTCTTGTACATTGATGAACAAACGGGAGACATTTCCTATTAAGGTACACTCTTCTCGCAAAAATCCAAAGAATGTTTCTCATCGTTTAAACCTTAATACTTAAAAAAAGCACTTTTTAAAGGACTTTGGAGTTTAACTCAAACAGGTAGGTTCTGCAAGCCAGAGCTGATCTCAGTACCTTAGTGCCCTAACGGGACAGCTAAAGTGTCACTGCTAGGACACAGGGTGCCACCTCAGCCCTGGAAATGGGGTGGGGGTCAAGGTCAGCGTGCAAGAGGGCCCAGAGCCTCAATCATGGCCCCCCGGATGAGATACGCATGGCACGGGGACTTCCGGTGCCCGAGGACGGAGGAGGTGGCGGCGAGAGGTGGAGGGGCGCTGTCAGCAGCCGCCGGCTGCTGAGCTGGAGGAGGCTGAGGCTGGGGCTGGGGCGGCTCGGCCCCTGCGCCCTGGATATGATGGGCTGGTCCCTGTTGTGGCTCGGGAGGAAGGTGCGCAAGAGCAGTCAGGACAGGGAAACCGAGTCAGGAAGAGGCCCTCAACAGGGGCCGGCGGTGGCTCGGGGTCCTGGCAGGTGGCGCTCTCAGCAGCACCCGGCAGCGCTCCGCTTCACGTGACACGGCTTACAGAAGAGACGGTCGTTCAGCGGGTAGCAGCCTTGGTCCGTGGGCTCCACAGACAGGAGGACCCTGCAGTCCTGTGGGGACAAAGGACATGCGGATGGACCCCAGGCTTGGGCGCAGCACAGAGCTGGCCCGCGGTGGGAGCTCACCCGGTGTCTGCTGATGAAACGAACCGAATGAATGAACTCCCTCCGGGCTGGGAAGGTGGCCCCTCCTTCCTGCTCCCCCAGCACACCTGGGGCAGGTCTCCACCAGGGAAGACAAGGCACAGGGGGCTCCCACCCATAGCAGGCAGTGAGTGATGAGTGAGCAGAGCCAGCGGAGGGGAGCCGGCCCCTGAGCGATCTCGGAAAAAGGCAGAAGCGCCTTAACAACTGCCCAGCAGTCCCTGTAGGACGTGCCCTCTGCGAGGCAGCGACCCCATTTCCTGCTCAACCCGGCCCAGACCAGAGCCCGGTGCACCGCGGGCACGCGGCAAACATCTGCTGAGTGAATAACAGAAACCAGCCCGGGCTTCATCTCGGATGCAGAAACTGAGGCCCAGGGAGGGGCGGGGCTTGCCCCAGGTCTCCAGGCTCAGGGTCCTGGGCTCTTTTCATCGCTCCCGTTTCTGCACAGCTTTGACACTGGCACAGACTTTAAAATTCCAAATTCTCAGATCACCAAAGGACTTGAGAGGGAGAGATTTGGAGCCCAACCTGCTAAGTTCACCATTCTGCCGCAAGGCTGTACCTCACCCGAGCCTTACCAGGGCACACACTGGGGAGTAATGATGGGGATGATTAATGCCCAGAGACACGGTTCAGGGCATGGCTGGCATCCTCTGGAAGCTGCACTCATCAGTTCAGAGGGGCTGGTCCCTTTAGAGACAAGGTTGGGCTCAGAGGTGCCATTCTGATGCAGCAAGGCCAGCAGAGGGCGCCCTCGTGTGTCTCTTTTCTGCAACTGCATCTTGAGTCTCTCAAGGACTATTTAAATGCCAGGCTCTGAGAGCATCAATTGCCAAATGTCAAGTCCCCAAGGTGCACATGTGACCTCTTCTAAATTAAAGTCGAGGAAAAAAACATCTTAACTTTGACAGAGCCACACAATCTGGGAAGGAGCTGTAGGGTGGAGCTGTTTGTCAATCATTGCAGACTAACAGGGTTGGAATCACTTTTCTTGGCCTCAGTTTCCACAGCTTAAATGCAGACAATAACTCCCATCTTGCAAGATCATCTCAGGGAAAAGTAAGGCGATGTGCACGAAAGCATTTTGTAAGTTAAAAATCACGGCCCAGGTACGAAAGGGCTGTTACCCCTCCATTTGGAGCAATGGTAATAAATGACACGGACCGCAAGGGACAGGAATGACCTGAGGAGTGTGGACGGCGCCGTGAAACCCCTTCCTAAAGAAACAGCGCCCCAGTCCGTCCCAGGCCAAGGCGGTCTGAGCCTTGCCACCTGAAATGTAAACTGCGGGTCGCAACTCAGCTTTCTGCTGCAGTCCCGGAACGGTCACAGTAGCCTTGGCCCAGCGACCAAGGACAAGCAGGGAGGGTTATTTGCTCGCTGACCAGGCTCGGGGAAATGCTTATCGCCACTGCACCTTATGAGGGCTATGGCGGTGATAAGCGCACTGGATTTCCGTCACTGCTCTTTCCAGAGGCGTTATCAGTCGGACTCTGGACTCTAACCACCAAAGACAAGGGGGACTCTGAAGCAATCTGTCACCTTCCGGACCGAGCTCCCCTGTACACTTAGAGAAAATAGCCCCTCGGTCCCACGTGTCTGTTTGCAGAAACGGTTAGAATTACTCACTGGCTGATGAAGAGGTTTGCTCTGGGGGTCCCCACTTAGGTGACACCCATAAAAGTGGCCACCTTTGTCGCCGTCCTCAGAGAAGACAGAAACATCAGTGACATGGAGGTGACAGTGGAAGAGGCAGGGAGGACTCCTGGAGCCTCCCCACCAGGACCGACTATAGGACTTACAGGATCTGGGACAAAATGAAAATGCAGAGCCCCTTGTCCAAACATTAAGATTTTCGGACCCTTTTGGAGTTCAGAAGTGTGATGACTGGGTGTTCACACTCTTGTGTGACATGTGACTCCCACAAACCTTGTTACATTGGCACATAACCTGTCTGACATAATTTAAAAAGTAAGATTTTCATGACAGTGACAGGAGAGCTCCCAAGCTTCTGCGTGCGGGGTCCTGTGAGACTCCTGGGCATTTCCTGCTGGGACCACTGCACCAGCTTCTCACCAGCCGCCCCGCCTCGGCCTCACCCGTCCCTGCGGCCTGGGGCATGTGGGCCCTTTCCTTCTCTCCGACCACAGCCTGCCACACGCAACACTCCAGACGCACCTAGGAACTTCCGCTTCCTCTGATTCTTCAGGCTTGCTCACGCCAAAGTGGGTTTTCACACACCCTTGCCCCTTTCCCGACTTCCTTTCTTCTCTCCGAATATCTGGCAAACTCCTACTCATCCTGCAAGACCCCGGGAAGCATCGCTTCCTCTATAACCTCTCTGGTTAGACTCCATCACAGCCTTGCTAGTCCCAAAGCTGATTTATGCATGCTCTTTCCCAGCACCCGGAAAGACATCTGCGGGGTGGGCTTGCCCCGCATCTCTTCCTCCCTTCCTTCCCATGGTTGTATCAACTCCCTGGCCCTAGGAGTTGTTAATCACAGCCCCTGGCCAGTGACTGGTCTAGAAGTGGGCATGTGACCCACTCTGGGCCAATCAGAAGCCTTCTTGGGACTGAATAGGCTCCCTGGATATAATTTCCAAGTGAAAAGGATGTAAACCTGGCCCAATCGGGGCCATGCACTGTCTCCCCCTCCTCAGAGGATGCTAGCCCACAGGAAGAGAAAATGAAGCAAACACACAAAAAAGGCAGAACTGAGAAACAGAAAGAGTGCCCCAATATCACTCGATACAATCAGCGACATCTCCATGAGCCTTCCCACAATCCCCTTTCTTGCACAAAGTAGGCTGAGTTCAGTTTCTACCATTTAGTCAAAGAGTTCCGATGAATAGACTCCAGTTGTGTGACTGCGCAGGACCTGCAGCATGTCATTAAATCACCGCTCCACTCACCTCGCACCTGTAGCAATTTTCATGGAAGTTTCTTCCCATGCACTCGATTTTGAAGGCATCCTTGCCGTCTCGGGGGATGATGGGATTCTCACAGATGCTGCACACAGGGGCGAATTTCCTAGAGGGAAGAGAACGCACTTGGGAGGCGTTCACGCCGACAACCACAGAAATTAGCTGTCAGGACGGCGCCTGGCTCTAATTCACCTCCTGGAGCTATTTCCGACCTGTTGCTACGTGACTGCACCTGGAGCTACAACCGCAAATGCCTATTTCTTCCTGGCAGGGGCGGATGGAGAGACCGGGAGTAATTAGACCCGGCTTCCCAGGGTATAATTAGCTGGAGGCAAGGAAGTGACGCGCATGTCAGAATTTGAGAAAGCAAAGCCATCTCCTGTGAGTTCAGCAGGGGGCTGGGGCCCGTTTCATTTGTCTTGTATTCTAGGTCATTGCCTTTTCTTCTTTCCTTTCTTTCCAGCAGGCACATCTGTCTTGCCCCCTGGGATATGCCTGTCGCTGCTACTGCTGCTTATGGCTCCGTGCTCTAGGGGTCGGGAGCAAGGCCCCAGAATTCTGGCCGACCGGGGGCGGGGTTGAGTCGTGGCTTCCGTCCTTACCAGCTGGGAGACTTTGGGTACTTATCCGCTGCATGCCTCAGTTTCCACATTTGGTAAAGTGGAACCCTCAGCAGTGCCTGCCTGATAGAGGTGATGTGTGCATGCCTCAAGGCCGGATTTAATTAAGTTCTCGGTCTTAATCTACTCCTCCATTAGTTCTGAGGATGAAATGGCCTAACTCGAGTGCCTGGCCCAGGGTAGGTGCTCAAAATGTTAACTGCAAGCAGGTACCTGGTCAGATAGAGGGTGTGCAGAACAGGAGGACCCAGTTTCTGCAGAAAAGCTGTTGACCCAGCCCCTGGGTCTCCGGCTCAGCTCTTCCGTTCTGCCCAAGTCCCACCCTGGCCTCCCGCCCCACCCACACCCAGACCCCTGTCGTACCTATAGAAGTCGTCCAGGCAGTACACCTCGTTCTGGCTGTCCAGGGCAAAGCTCTCATCCCCGATGCACCGGGCGCAGGTCACACACGTGAAGCAAGTCGGGTGGAAGGCCCGGCCCAGGGCCCTGATGATGTGTTCCCGGACCACCTCGCCACACTTGCCACACTTCTCCAGGGTGTCCTGGGGCAGAGGGCCACTGCCTCAGAGCCATCCACACGTGTGCCCGCTCCAAGCCACGAGGGGCTTCTGACCAACTCAGAAGGGGCCCAGGAGGCCAGGGGTACAGGTGGGGAGCCCAAATTCATGCCATTGGCCTACAACTACCACCCCCAAACCTGCACTACTGCTTCAGTGGATCGAGCTTGGCCTTGTGGCCTTGGCTACAGTGAGGATTCCCGCCACAAAGCTACGACCGCATGTTTTCTCCCTAGTAAATGCTGTGGCCACATACACGAGGGCCCACAGAGGAAATTTCTTTTAAATCTCCAAGTCAGCTAAAGCAATTCCTGGAGAAGCTGGTGTGCCTTTTCTCTTATAGACAAAAAACCTTGAAACCCTGTTCCCTTTTCCATTTGCCCACTGGGAAGCTCAGAGTCAAATTCCATGCCCCCCTTTTAGGAATTGTAAGGGTCTTTTATTTATATATTTTGGGGTGTTATTAACTTTTCCTTTGAAAGTTAATAGCACCCCACACTCCTCTCTGATTTTCCTCTGTTCTAGTTAATTTTATATTCCGTAATATTATGTACATGTTTTAAGTTGTTTTATGGGGTAAGAACACTTACCATGAGATCTACCCTCCCAACCAATGTTTACACACCCAATATAATTATTGGCTATCAGTACACGTACAACCGTATAATCTCATAAACGATCTCAGGAATGAGGAGGGATGCGAGTTAGCACTGAGGGGGGCTGACAGGCCTCCCCCCAACCAGCCCCTTTCTCCTACACGTCTCTCCTCCCCTTCCTGTGCTCCTGTTCATCTGAACCCAATTTCATCTGACGGGTGTGTTTCAGGGGGAGGGGGTACATTGACCCTTCACCCCCTCCCGGGGCAGCCCTTCTCTCCCCGGCACACAGCTCCAGTCCCCCCTCGCTGCTTCCAGCTCTAAGCCCCCTCCCCCTCCCCCCTGCATCCCCTTTGTGCCTCACCCCTACGTGGCTCTAAGCTGAGGAAGGAGGGTGAGGCCACCTGCCCCTCTACATGGATGAGGTCAGAGGGGCGGGCAGCCCGGCTCCCCTCTCCTCTCGCAGTGCCTCCTGCCTGGGCTCGGGTCGTGCCGGCTCTGAAGACAGTCCCAGCTCTCGGTCCTAATTCCCAGTCCACACACCAGTAATCTTCAGGCTTCCCCGTATACCAGAATCACTTGAGAGACTTGTTAAAATGCAGATTGCCAGGGGCCGCCAATTCAAGAGGATGAGGTGAGGCCTACGTCCTCGAGTGGTCTGCACACCATACAGAAACACGCCACCACACGCCATCGCAGAGAACCACCAATTTCAATACCTTGGCACCCGGACTGCACGTGGTACCCAGAGGTGCCACAGACCCCCCTTCAGAGCACGCCTCAGAACCTGGTGGCTCTAGGGGAGAGTGCAAGCCCGAGGGCAGGCCCAGAGCCCCATGCGCCTGGGTATCTAGAACCCCAGCTCCGCCACCTGCTGGAGCATGACCGTGTGTGAAAGGTGAGTGACAGCCCCGAAGGCATCCAGGACCTAGCCCCTGGCACCCGACTCTGCCGATGCGCTTGACTGTGAGACGGGGAGAGTATCCTGGAGGATCCAGGTGGGCCCTGAATGCCATCGTGGGGGTCCCTGGAAGAGGGAGGCGGAGGGGGATCTGACGGGGAAAGGGGCGTGACACCGAAGCGCAATGCGACCCTGCTGACGTGGAAAACAGAGGAGCCGAGGCGTGCAAGGAACGCGGAGTGAGAAGCTGGAAAGGGCAAGGACACGATCCTCCCCTAGAGTCTGGGCGTGGGGGTGGAGCACAAGGCTGTGATTGGACACATTTTGGACTCTGACTCCGGAACTGTAAGAGGGTCCATGTGTGCCGTCTGGCGCCACCCAGTGTGTGGCAAGGTTACAGCTGTCACAGGAAAGCCATCCACCTTGGCTGAGCTCCTCCCCTGTCTCCGAGCCTCAGCCTCCTCCTCTGTGAAACGGGCCAGTACTGCCTGCCTCCCGGGGCTGTCGTGGGAATGCAATGATGCGCCATCTCCCCCGAGCCCGGCTCAGGGCCCGGCATCTGGGAAGCCGCTGCAGGGGTTACCTGGTAGCAGGGCTCGCAGAGGGGCCTCCCGTCCTTCTGGTAGAAGCTCTGCCCCGCCAGCTGGCGGCGGCAGGTGCGGCACGTGAAGCACTGGGCGTGGTACTGCCTCCGCATGGCTTCCACGGCCAGCTCGCGGGGGGACACCGCCTTGTGGCAGAAGGCACAGACGTCTGGGGGAGAAGAGACACAAAGGCCATGGCCTGCCCAACCCGGGAGGACTGTACCCGGTCGCCACCCACAACAGGCCCAGGGTGCTAGGTCTCTGCCTTGAACCCCCGGGGCTCGTGAGTGCGACCTCCCCTCCTCGCCTTCCGAGGAGGGTCGGCAGGCGCGGTAGGAAGCCAAGTGAATGGCCTTTGAAAAGAGGCGCAGTGTCAGGACCACTGGGTTGCCATCTATAAAAAGTCAAAGTGGGGGGAGGCCTCCCCCATGCCACCCTGCACCCCGATCATTCCCAGCGTGTGGGAGACGTGGAAAACGAAAGCACAAGAACACGAAGAGCACCCAGAGGAGAATTATTTTATGACCTTGGAGTAGCAAAGGCCGTTTGGCACAGGGTAAGTGCTCACTGCTGTTTATTAAAGGAGTAACACATGGTGCTGGGGAGCCTGGGGGCAAACGGTCACACAGACGCTGCCAGCAGGAGGGCAGATCGGGCTGATCACAGAGGGCAATCCGGCAAAAAAAAAACAATACCGAAGTCACCAATGCACCCACCCTTGGGCCACACTAGTTCCTCTTCTAGCAACTTATCTCACAAACCTGCACCCAGGAAAA